CTATTAAAGTCTATGACTAAAACTAATTTTGGAAAAGTAATATTATGACTTTCTGATTACCTCTACAATTTCAGCAAATAATTTTCAAGTTGTTAATTGTAGACCATTGGTGGCTCCTCCTACAAGTTATATGATGTTTCTGAGATCCCTGTTTGGAGCACTGAAAATTTAAAGTTCTTGAAAACTCAGCCAAGCTGATTTTATTTGAAGGAGCACCACCATTAATGTCTGTTAGGCTCCTACCACAGGCAGGTAAATGCACTCTTTCAGGTATATGGTGGTAGTACTGGTATGGCAGTAGCAAATCACATCTTCTGCTGTGAATCTGCAGTTAAAATATTCTCCAAGTTGAAATTTAAGGTTTTTTTGGGACTGTTTTTGTCTTCCTGGATATAATGATTTATTTCATAGCATAGATCCTAATAAATGAGTCATGAATGCATCACATCATTATCTACTGCTAAGTTATTTTTTTTGCCCCATAATATATACCTATTAAATGCTTGCAACCAAAGGGCAATACACTGAAAACAAATGGAAAGAATTGCTCTATTGCATTGCACATTGTCTTGTGCCCTCATTGCGATGGGATGTAATTGTATAAGCTACTGTGCTGTTAGATTTCAAAAGGCTGGTTCATAACCAGTAATAACATTTGTGGCAATCTGAGCTAAGTTAATGAAAAAGATAATCAAATTTAATGCTACAGGGCATGACATCTGATATCTCTAGGACTTGTAAAGAGACCATTCAGTTGACTTGGTGAAAGGGAAGGAGGTGGTTGCGTGTGTGGAGGGCAGGGGAGGCAAGAGACAGCACAAAAATGAGTCACCTTGCTCAGAAGCACTGTGTGCTGGTCACCAATGGAGGCTAAAGAGCATGGAGTTAAAGGTGCTTGTCAAACTAATGATATTTTTAGTAATGTCAATATCTGATGAAATATAAGTTTTAACTGATTCCAGACATTTGTTTCTGTCAATTTGTCTCTATGATGGGGAGATTGGATTAAGTAGTTTACATGTGCTTCCTCCTTGCCCATAGCAGATAGGAAGTGAGTTAGTGGTTGATCATGGATGGCATTTGAGCAGCCTTTGCTTTTGCACTTCAGTAAACATTAATCTGAAACTCAATTCTAGCTCCGGTGCCAATAGAATATATATATATTTACTGTACCTCTGGATAACACCCAGTGGTCACTTTCTTCTGCTTCTAAATAAATTTATTGCAAATTGTCTGCATGAACACTTTCACTGGCACATATTGGTATGTCACTCAAGTGTTCAAATGGCAGTGGCTTTTGTGCTGACTAGTAGCAGAATTAATGGACACATTCTGTGTGTGTGTCTAACTGGTAACGTTCAGAAAGAGATACATGAGGAGTACTTCTATTTATAGATAGCATTCAAAATGTGTTTTCTCTCACAGACTTGAACTGTATTTATTACAATTGCCTCCTTCATCCTACTCTGTTCTTTTATAAATTACCCGTTTTCATTCTTCTCTCCATGTCATGCTCTCCTTTAAGGAGGTGCATTTCATGTAAAAAGTAATGTAATGGCTAATGTAAAAATTCTCATGCTGAGCCAAAAGCCATCTGAAGCCACCTAGTACTCTGTCTGGCTGTGGCCAAAGGCAAATGATCAGGAAAGAACAGAAGACTGAGGACTGCGCAAAGGGATCTCCTTCAGTGTGTCTTCTCAGGTTTTGCCAGTCAGAAGTTTAGAGGCTTACTGAAGCAGGCATTTTAATATGAGTATTTGATAGCTCATTCAACTTCATTAAATTAACTGAATCATTTTCTTGAATGTCTTATGTCGTTGATTTCCCATAGCATCTTTTAAGAAGTCTTAGAGTTCTCTGCAAAAACACTGTTAGAAAAGCACATGTAGGAAAGATGGTGAGAAAGACTGTCTTTGGATGCTGCCTGGCCATTCTCAATCTCTTTCTCATCAACTTCAGTATTCTTGTGTGTCCAAAGTTCACTCCACAGAGATAATATGCTCATGGCTGATTTGATATTTGGTGCCTTTCCTGTCATTTACATCCCAGGTCTTAGGCTTCAAGGCCTTACAACACTAAAGAATAAATTTGTAATAAAATTGTTTCTATTTATCTATCTATTTATTATTGTAATAATTATTGTGTTTATATAAAGTTTGGAAGGAAGAAAATGCACTAGTACATTAGGAAAAGCTGAAGAAAATCCATTATACACAAAGTGACTGTTTCCATCCATACCTCTCCACAGTTCCTCAGAACATCATTGTGTTTATATTTTGAATATCCATGATATGGAGTAACTGAAACTAAATCAGATTCTAATAAAACAGGGTATTGTGGGATTTCTGTGGGTCTGAAGTTCAAGTTACCAGTCTTGAATATGTAGCAGCTAATATAGATTTTGCTTAAATTAATACCTAAAGGACTTTCATTTAGCATTCTTTCTCTATTCTACAAAAGAAAAATTAACATCTCATCACCTCTGAGAAAGTCAAAATTATTCCAGAAGAGAGAAGGATTACACAGTTCCCAGCATTGTAAACAGAGGGAATCTTAAACAATGGGATTCAGCCTTCTATAATGTTTTTTTTTCTCTCCTTCAGTACAGACCAGCGTCTCTGCAGAATGGATTCTCAGCTGCCAAGCACCCAGATGCTAATTTGCGTGCATGTGAATATTCAAGGTTAACGGGAATATATTCCTTGCAAGAAAAACAGTTGGTGACATTCAGACTGCATTCTTTTTTCCTTCCCTGACATGAAGTAGAATGTTGAAAATCTGATAAAATCAATTCTCCTCACATGAACAAAATTACTATTCCTAATTGGGATTAGGTGAAGTATTCTTCCCCCTGACTGGATAGCCAGCAGGCAGGAGAATCTGATTTAAATGCCTGCTCTAAATCAAGGAGAGAGGATAATTTGATCTCTTTCTCCCATGTGATAATTGCTGTCCTTTGTATTCACGTGCAGTGTACTTCTTTTCTTCTATAGTTTTTACAGAAAACTCCAAACCAATGATCCATGCAGATGATCCAGATTGGTATATGGACTGGAGAAAAAGGAGGAGAAGATTTGTTGTTGAAGTTTTCGAGTGGGTGGCCCTCTTAGCCAGAGGTGGGTGCCTATCTAGCATCAGCTTGACCTAAGTCAACTTCTGCTTGTCTTCTGATGGACTTAAGCTAGTTCTGGAGGAAACCCAGATCCATGTTACATGATTTCCATAAGTTGTATGGAAGTACCAGGACCGATCTTGGACTGAAGGACGGTGTGATGTGGTAGGATGCACTGCAACAACAATGAAGCTTTCTGTACCTGAGGAGAGTAATGTCCATCTTGGGTCCAAGGTGGGAGACGGTTTCATTTTGTCTTTAAGCACATCTAGATGGAACATGCATAGTTCAGTAAACTTCGTGGCCTGCAGAAATTAGTGAGGTCTTTGTATGGAAAAGGACACATGCCTGGACCAGCAGCCACACAGTCTTTGTACACAGCCAAACACTATGGTCTGACTTGCCTCCATGCACATCATATGTTCCTCTGCTTGTGCACCAGGGCAGCTTTTCATTTATGATTCCAGATGCACAGACCCCTCCTCTAGGCATCAGACTGCACCTCGAAGCATGTGAGGGCAGACAGCATATGGCAGGGAGCCTATGGAGTGACATTGTTTAGTAGGACCAGTATGAGTGTGCTCAGTGCCACAAAACTGGGGGTTCGAGAGATTTGGGTGAGTGACTTTGCTGTGAGTGAGACCTTATCAGGATAAAACCTCAGTACACCCCAATTTCGCCTGTCCCCCATGTGCTCTGCTTTCTGTACTGACAGAGTAGAGGACTCCTGGCTCACCCCGGTGGGTGCCAGTCTTGAGGCATGGATGGCATGTCCAGCCCTGCATGCCTTGTCTCCTGGAATGGTTGCAACCACCTACTGCTCTCCCTTACCTTCAGTGCACTTATCCAAATGCAGACAAGCTTGTTATGGACACAGGGACTTCAGAGCTGGCCTGTGCAGAGTAAGAGAAGGCTTGGCAGGGTTGGTGCTTAGTCAGGGCTAAAAAGGACAATTGGCACATGGTCAGTATTGTTGTTCTGTGCTCTCCAGCATGCCCCTTAGCACCCATTGCTATATGGTTTTTCATTATCCCAAATGTCCCAACTGTCCCACATAAAGAGGTTGTTTCAATACTGTGGTATTGATTAAATACCCAAGCAGCTGACTCAGAAGAAAAAAATGGGTTAAACACTTAGACATTGACCATTGCTGGATTACACCAGACTCCTACCGCTTTATAATCTTCCCTTTGATAAGACAAATGAATTGGAATTTTAAAATTCACTAAAGCATAGATTCCTCAACCCTTAAATCCTTTTTGCTTCTATTCCCTGAATTCTTCTGTTTTCCTCCAAAACGTCCAGAATGGATGGAGGTTTCTGCAAATAATCCCATTCATGCTTCATACAGAGGTAATGCTACCGGTTATTTGTTTTATTGACCTGTTTATACAGACAAGGGTTACTCTGTAAACTCATGTTCAATTGATCATATTCCACTTTCCCAGGATCCGTGTAGTTAGACTAAGAATTACGAGTTAATCATTAAAGAGAATTCGTCAGTTTTAAAAAGTCACATTCCTAATACTCATATTCATTATTATAAGTAAGATTATTAGAATCTACATAACTAAAACAGTTATGGGGGAGTGGTTTTTCTTAGTCTGATGTTATGAAATTTTTTTTTCATTTGGCAGCATTTATGTACTCATATGCGGACAGTGCCCCTGCTTGCTGTTTGTAAGCAGTTTCTTCGCTGCACGAGACTGCAGGAACAGTGGCTGAAAAGTGAAAGCAGAAAAGCAGGATAGAGGCTGAGGACCAAACCTTCCTTCCTTTTCTGTAGCTGGGTCCACCCCTTTCCACTTACTGCCTTTCTGCTGTTCCCATTCTCTCCTCTTTTTCTCAGGAGAGCAAATATCGAACTTGGAAAGACAGCTCCACATTTTCATAGACATGGCATTCTTTTCTTCCCTGACTCCAGTCTTTATAGCTATTATATGTGTTTTGGTTGGAGTAATACTGAAGAAGAATAATGGAGAAAGAGGAAAACATGAGACTAAAAGCAAGCCTCCATCTCGCCCATGGGTGGATGAAGACTTAAAAGATGGTTCTGACCACCACGTAGAGGAAGAAGGTAAGAAACATTAACCAGGGGAGTCATTTTGGTGTCTGAAATTTATCTGCTGTTATGCATAAATGAGGTGTGATCTCTTGGACCTTTCCAGAGTGATGGGGTATACTGTAGCAGTGCTACACTGCTGTAGTGCCTCGAGCTCATCAGCTCTGGGAAAGGAGGCACTGCAGGTGCAGTGTTGCTCTTGGTGTAAATCTGCATTTCCTTCGATTCCACAGGTCGGGTTGCAAAATGAAAAAAGTAGTTTCAAGAGGGCACTCTGTCATACTGCCCAGAAGATCTCATATCTATGAAGCACTCTGTGGAGAATATAGGAAAAGAAAGGAGATACTGCTAAAGCCCCCTCCCCTTTCCCAGTCCTCATTAATAAGGAAAAGGGAAAACCTGAGGATTTAGTTTCTGTCTGCATGCTAGTTGTGTAGATATCTTATCCAACTTACTTTCCTGTGCTACATGGCATAGTCTATGTCTGATCTCTGCATTTGTAAAAGAGAAGGAAATGGATTTATTACATTTGTCTGCTCATTTTCTTGAACTGTTTCTTCTGTCAAAATATGTGTTCAGTTTTCTTTCCCCCTATGTGACTTCTGTGAATGTCTATGACAGTTCTAGCTGGATTAGAACTGGGATCATTTTGGAGATAATCTGTGTAGTTTTTAAGAACAAAATGTGGTGGTGATGCTAATCTCTGTTCACTCAGCTGCGTATCTGCACCTGTACAGAATGTCCTTTTCCACATCGACTTCAGTTGTACAACTCTGACATAGGTATGAGCACAAAACATCCTCTCTGTGTTTTTTCCTCTTCACTATCCTGCATAAGCTCCCTTACTCTTTTTGTAAAGTCAAGTTTTGCTCCTGTAATGCTTTTAACTTTCAACACGACTTTCTTTTCTTTTCCTAATATCGCTTTTGAAGGCTTTCTGTCCCTTAACGGCACATTCCCCAAGTCAGCTTCTAGGAATGTTGGCACTTAAATTGTTTTTCTTGGAAATATGCCTGTTGCTAAGAAACATGATTTCTGTTGCGTGAGATGAGTGTAGCTTGAGTTAGTGTTGTATACCAATTTCCAGAAACATTTGATACTTGAAACCTTTTAAACCAAGGTGATTATTTCCAAAATAACCAAAATTTGTTTAAAAGTTAGTTCTAGGCTTTGTCTTCCATTATACAATTCAAAACAGATTATTTGAAAAATTATCCAGTATTTTCTTTCTGTCACTTATTTTAGTTCAAATCAAAATTCCTGTGGCTAGTTCAAGTGATAATCTATGAATTATCATTGTGAAATAGAATCATAGAATCATTAAGGTTGGAAGTGACCTCTAGAGATCATCTAGTCCAACCCCCCTGCACAGGGTCACCTACAGCATGTGGCACAGGATTGTGTCCAAGAAGATTTTGAATATCCCCAGAGAAGGAGATTCCACAACATTTTTGACTACGGTCATTTCCATCAGTTTAAAATTTTAAATCCTCTAAGTAAGTGAAGCTATTACCTGCTAATAATAAGCCTTACTATCATATCTTTGTGTACAAAATATTATTCCTTTCTGTCACAATTTTTTTTTTCCTGTCTTCTATTCAGACATTATTTTGAAGCTGTGCTAGTTAAAAATTGCTTTTAAAAAGTTGACAGGTAAATAAGCTCTTTTTCCTTGTTGCTAAAAGAAAGTGGTTTTTTTTTTTTTTTTTTTTTTTAGTAAAGCCTCCCTTTGTGTAAAATATATTGTAATCTTAAAGTCAATTTTCTTGCTATATTTTTTTTACAACAACAAAAAAAGACCCTTTCCTCAATGCTGTGTTGTTCTAAACTAGCATCTATGCAAAAATCTCTGGCCTATCCCCTATCTCCAGAAAAAAATTAAACACTTGTAACATGTTTGAGGAAATTTTTCATCAGTAGAGAAACTCCAACATAAGTGAGAAGACAATGTGGCCACCTTGATAGCAATATGTTTTCCTACAAATGCTATAATTAAGGATCAAATAATATTTGCCTTGTTAATGTTCAGATTTTCACTAACTTAGTAGATGATAGAAGTAGAAATAGAGGCATAGAATATAAACAGATTTTTTGTTAATATTAAAGAACCCTTTGCATGCTGTTTAAATTCTACTACTTTACTAAAGTCTTTATTGGAAAAGCTCCTTTCTATTCAGATGTCTCAGTGGCTTATGGTTAAAGGCAAAGTTCCTCTGGAGAGGGTTTGCATTAAATAAGATCTAACATTTTTAAGGTCTTCTCTAAAACTAGAATCTAGGCCTGCTCTAGTTAAAGGAGCTGAATTTTGAATAGCCCCAGGTATAAGGAAGCAGCTAAGGACGAAGTTTTCCGTATCTGACTATGATCAACAAAAGGGCACTTTACAAAAGAATGAAGCAAACCAAAAGTGCACAGCACCCTGAATGCAGGGGTAGGCTTCAAGAAGCAAATCATATTCCTAAACTGCACCACAAAACCGCTCAACCTTGTCTGGGCCATCACCACCTGCATGAGTGGTGAAGCGGGGATGTTTCCCTGGCAAGGCGCGTACCTTTACCGCATGCAGTAAAAAGCAATAAGCATCATTAGCTGAACTGCTTGGACAGACTCTGTAGAGTCACTTCATGGAAGAAAAGGGCAGAAGCGGCTACTGGAGAAGTGAAGGGCTATTCAGATGCTACCAAGCTTGTCCTTGTTGTGCTTTCTCTGGCTGAAGGGAAGGATGCTTCTTGGAGCAGACAGGAAGCCAGCTCTCTTGTTAAGTGGATAGCATTCAGGAAGTCAATTTGTTTAATGTCTCAGCTGGCAGTACTTCAGATTTGTTTGTCCTGTCTGTCCTACAACTTTTTTCCTTATATTTGAGATCCACAATGAGAAATTGTCATACTGCAGATTAACAAAAACAGTCTTTGTGTATGTACATATGCCCATGTCCTGTATTAGTCCATATGTGATTACCAATGACACACATCCAGAAAATAACCCCAGACACCAGTACAGGCTGAGGACTGACCTTCTGGAGAGCAGCTCTGCAGAGAGGGACCTGGGTGTCATGGTGGACGACAAGTTGACCATGAGGCAGCAGTGTGCCCTCGTGGCCAAGAAGGCCAATGGGATCCTGTAGTGCATTAAGAAGAGCCCACAAGGATGATCAGGGGCCTGGAACATCTGCCCTGTGAGGAGAGGCTGAGGGAGCTGGGCCTGTTCAGCCTGGAGGAGAGAAGGCTGAGAGGGGATCTAATCAGTGTCTATAAGTACCTCAAGGGAGGGAGTGAGGAGGATGGTGCTGGCCTCTTTTCAGTGGTGGCCACCAACAGAACTAGAGGAAACAGCCACAAACTGAAGCATCAAAAGTTCCACAGGAACTTAAGGAAAAAATTTTAACAGTGAGGGTGACAGAGCACTGGAACAGGCTGCCCAGAGAGGTTGTGGAGTCTCCTTCTCTGGAGATCTTCAAAACCCGCTTGGACGCAGTCCTGTGCCACGTGCTCTAGGTGATGCTGCGTGCGCAGGGGGGTTGGACTAGATGACTTCCAGAGATCCCTTCCAACCTTGAGCATTCTATGATTATATGTTTCTATATGAAAACATGTTTCTTTAGCTTTATCTTGAATGATGAATCAGAATGGATCTCTCCTAGTCACAGGCCTCTGATCCCAAACTGGTAGTACCTAGTTCCTCACAGTGCTACGTTTACATCTTTAGATTTGGACTGTTGCTAGGGCAAACGCAGTCAAATGATTCAGTCTTCAGCCCCCGCCCCCCAACTGAGTGAATGTAATGCTGCTGAAATCACATCCTTCCCCAGTTAATTAGTATACTACACCTGTTAGGCTCAAATCAAGAAGCACTTTCTGGCTCCTACGTGAAGGCCAAACAATTGATGGATAAGGTAAATACAGAACCATTTTACAGTGGTGTGGAGGCTTAGAATTAATTTGATTTGTACCCTCGTTACTCTGGGCATTCAGTTCAGAGATTATCAGCAAAGGTATTTTATTGCTATACGTTTAACTGTGAGGACTTTGCTTGGTAATATACTGTACTCAAGGACTAAAAAGAAAGGTGCAAAGGCCTAAATCTCTTTTGAAAATGCATTGCTCATTCTCGTGATACTTCTTAAAATAGACCTCTCCACTTTGAAATACTTCTTCTCTCCTTCCCCACCACATGCAAAGGTTTCCGATATCTTTTAATAATAAAGGTAGTGATATGAGTGAGGCAGTAGCTGTTTAATATTCCAATTTAATATCATTTTGTTATTATATGTAATTTAGGAACATAAATGTGTTATTTAGGAACATAGGGTTTAAATGGATATAGTGTGTCATTGTGTTTATCTCTCTGCTGTCCCAGCCTCTATCTCTTAAAAACTGGCCTTTTTTGATACCATATAATTAATCTTGCTAGAAGGCTGTGCCAAGACTTCCCACTATGAGTTAAAAATTTCTTCTAACTGCCAGTCCTGCTATATACTCACCTATGTTTCACTGCCTTCATGCAAAAAAGCACAAGGAGGTCAGGACTTAAAAATCCAAAGATGTGAGGACTTACTTCATATGCATTTAATTGCTTCTCCATACATTGTATCCTTTTATTGGAGGATAGGATGAGAAAAAGAATTCTAGGCTTGGGAAGCAGTTTCTTGCATAAGAAACTGAAGCAGCTATTTTGGAAAGTAGACACATTAGACATGTTAATAGTGATGTTTCTCAAGGATCGGTCTTGGGACTAGTCTTTATTATCTGATGGTTTTGTCATAAAACCAGTGTGCAAGTGGAATTTGTTGTTGATATAAAACTACAAGCTACCTACACAAGAAACGGTCAGTGTGAGTAAAAAGAGTGGTCAACAGAAATGAAATGGCAAGTCACTGTAGTAGTGTGAGTTTGTGTTATTAGGAAGTCATAATAAGAATTATTGCTACAGTCTGAGAGGTGGAATTTATTATATGGCTTGTAGGCTGATGATTTGCTGCAGTGTGAACTGCTGGGAAGAAGGCAAGGTTTCACTTGGGATATCTGAGCCAAAGCCAATGCAGCATTGCTTAAAAAATCAGGAAGTTGAGTGGGCTACTGTAAATGTACAACACAAGTGATGGGAATCTAGGGAATGTGGCTTATAGACTCGCTAGCACGCCTGTTGTCCATCAGATGATGGAATACATAGAAATCTAAACAAGACATTTGCAGTATTGAACAATGTGGATGTAGAGATAGGAATATGTCCAAACACAGCAACTGAAGATATAGAGAGTATGCACTAAACAGATTGTGTGGATAATGATTCTAGCTTAACATAATGATAGCATTAACTGCTACAAGTGAATGGTAGACTCATGGTGGCATAAATAATAGATGAATTTATTTTAAAAAGTTGCTTGGAGAGCTATGTTAAGTCATCTCTGTCACTTCTGGATTCTTCTCGTGCTTTTTCCAGTATTCTCATTTTGAGTGTGCTAAACTCTTATTTCTAATATATATTTCTTAAGAGTTTCTTCTCTTATATGGAAAAACAAACAAACAAACCTCATAAGATTTAGCTCGGTCTGGCCTTAGGTGATACTGCAAGTCTAATGCTTTCCACCTTTCTTTGATACTCAATCTTTTTCTTCCATTCCTAACTGCTTATGTATCATTTCTTTGAGACATTACTAAATCAATTATATCTATCAATTTAGAACAAAGATGAATTTTATACCTCTGATTTAAAGAAGTCTTCTTGATCCATGAATTCTTCAGTCTGAGCTCTCCAACTTAATTTTGCTTTATCTCTTATTCTCCCTAAGTTTATTCCTGTAAAAACTGTGACCCACAGTCATAGACCTGCTTTTCTTTACCATTTTCATTTAGCCAATTAAACTTTATCAACTGCTAATCTAGAATGCAGCGGTACTTTTTTTTTTTTTTAACTGTCTACCCCTTTCAATGAAACTGAAGCTAAGACAATCACCAAGCCAATAAAAGAGCAAGTTATTTGATTAAGGTATCAGCTGCTTCAGTAGGGAAGCCTGGTTTCTAGTACTATCATCATATTTCCTCTTCTATATACACCTAGAAAGCTATACCACCCACATATATCTCATAACAGTGAGAGAGTTGAAGCTGTATGACCTTCTCTTAAAAATATGGCCTGAGACTCAGATGTGACATTGGAGGCCTTTGTAGGCTCCACACTACCACAAAAGTGAGTGTATCTGTAAAAGCAAGTTTTGTTTTAGCTGTGCTATGTTTTTATTTCTTTGCAGTCTGATATAACATCAGTTATTCCCTATTTTTTTATTGATATGCTTCCTGAACAAGTCAGACCAGGTACTACTGTTGTTACTGCATCCTGATTCTCTTCTCTCTGTCATGCCCTGTTTCATGAACTATGGCACACGCTGGTAGTTCATCCAGTTTGTTGTGTTAGGCCTCTACATTCAGCTGGACACAAACATCCCCTTTTGACTAAGGGCAGTCTTTCCACTATGTCAGGTCTCTGAATAGTGCACTTGTAAGTAACTTAATTTTGATACTCATCTTGCTATTCTTTGGCATTTACATATTTATTGCTGATTTATCACCTACTTTATTTTCCTCTTCGTGTTTCAAAGCCAGGTACACAGATTACACAAAGTTTTTCCAGACTTTGCTCCCATTTAACAAACTTTCTTTTTTAAAGGATTTTGGTAGTTTATACACTCATTTAAATATCCTTGACTCAAAAAGATATTTCATGGTTTTTTTAGTAATACTAGAAAAATTTTTAGTAATACTAGAAAAAGAGATGACTAGGAATGTCGTTGATCTGCTTAGGAACCAAAATTAGACTAATAAATCTCCATCATCAGTAGAGGCTAAATGAAAGGTAAAGTGTGCTGAATGTACCCCACTTTCTGCTTTCTGAATTTTCCTAAATCCTCGTCCTAAGAAAGTAAATAATGAGAGCACATGAGAACTCTTGGGTCCTGAATTAGTTTTGACTACGTCTAGGATTATTTCCAGGGCACACAACAGTAGCTTGTTAATGGGAAATGGATAGGGATGGTCTCTACAGCATATCAAGTGATCACCACAGCAAAATACTACAGTTGGACCCCAAATTTTCACCAAGACATCAATCTAATACCTACTTCGACTATAGCTTTTTGGTCAGATTCTGCTTTCTGATGCATATTCACAGCCTGAGCTGATTTCATGGTTTTGTTAACATAAAGATAATTTTTTCCCCATTTAGAGACTCCTCATACAAGAGTGGTGATGGATCAAACTAAGCCATATGTCATGTTTTTGTAACTACTAGGTTTCAGTTCATCAAAGAATTTTTTTTTTGTAGTAGTAGCAGTACTGCTATATGCAAGATGGATTTGGGGAGGGAGAACATATTTTATTGGACAAATCAAAGCAGTTGCAAGCAGCAAACCAGCTTGGAACCACATCTGCCCTTCACAAGAAACTTGAATGAGAGTTTTTGTTCCCAAAGCTTGCATGTTTTCTTCTCGTATCTGTATCAGTGGGTTAATTACAGTTGAGCAAGCTCTACAGCATGTAAAGAAATTCTGTACAAGACTACAGAATGATTATTTATTGGTTAGTATACACTGCAGATACTAGGCTGAACAGCGATAAGCTTATCTGCCCTAATGAGACAATGTGGCACCCTCTAAACTTCTCTGCTGGCCGTGCTGTTATCTCTCATGTTGGAAAAGGTTGCTGACTTGACATCTTGTTTTTTCTTGTATGGCTTTACACATTTTCAGATCAGATTTTTTTCTCACAAATGCTTGAGCTGCTAACTATTACTGCCTTAGATATTACACTTCTGCTTGTAGCAGCAGTTTTTTACTGTTTTTATTATTATTATTTTACCATTCTTATCTTGTATGCCTTTATTTCATATTCTTTCACAAAACTTCCCAGCAACTTGACTTGGTAAAACTGAGCTAAGGTCACTAGGTCTCCTATTATATGGACCCAGTGAACTGGGCTGAGGATTACATCTTCTTCCAAAAGAAGAAGAAGATGTAGAGCGGCAAGAGGAACAGAAATGTATCCTGAGATCTGCTCCACAACTGCATTCCCTGTGAGTCTTCATGGAGAGATTGCATACTGACTTTCTTCTAGGGGCAGTGAGGTCAGCCTGTCTTACCTGACACACTTTTATTTGTTAGTGGTCTAACATGCCAGGTCCCCAGCTGAAGCTCTCCCTCTTTACAGATTACCACACTATTTGCTAGTGTGAGCATAGCTGTTGTAACTCATGGTATCCCCTTCACCAATTGGGGGAGAAGCAGCAAAATGGGAACGTGAAAGTTTCTGAAGGTCATCAGAATGCTAGCAAAGGGCAATAGATGCTATTGAATCATCATCCGTGATAACAAGCATAAAACAGAAAGGGCAGATGAGAAAGATGTGCAACTGGTAACTTCTTCCCGTTACCTTAGACACCCCAGATCTTTGCAGACTGTGATTCAGAGTACTGACAAAAACATGTAATGCTGAAAGAAATGTTCTTGGTGACTTCTTTGTATGCAAAATTTTTGTTGCAGATTCAACATACGAAACTGCATGGATTGCAGCCACTTGCACATGCTGAGCCACACTTGGAAACATTTTACTATTGTTGATAAAATGGACAAGTTATCAGCCTGACCTACAGGACAACTGCATACTACTAAAACACAGAAATAATTGCTATCTGAGTTTGCACTGAAGATTGCTATGATTTTTTGAATAATAGCCTAATGGTGACTGAAAAAAGAACTGGATTATTTTTCTCCTCACTCAGCACTCTGTAGCAGATTGCTCAATACTATTGACTAGCTGAAAAGCAAAATTTAAATGCCTTTTTCTTCTATGTCATAAGTGCAAAACATGCTATCCTCACTGATACGAGGAATGCAGGGAAGAAAGAAGCTGAATTTGTGTTCAGGTATCTATGGTACTAAAAAAAAAAGGAGGGGGGCAGATTTTCATGAAATGAAGCACAATTTAAGTCCTTAAATTATAGGCAAGAAATACAATATTGTGCATTTAATACCTTGTTATCCTAAGTGTAGCTGTCTCCATCCACTTCCTCTCATACTGAAAGTATTCTGAAACCAAAGAACTTAACCACAAATCACATTTGCACGGAGCCTAACCTGGTAATGTTCCTGGGATGAAACATGAATATGGGAAGGAGCCGACATTCAACCCTTCTGAGGAGCTTTTACACATCTTGCTAGTCAAGCCCTCACCTTGACTTTAGTAGTTTGATTGATTTTTTTTTCTTACTAGAATGCTTGCAAAATGACATTTTCACATTTACTTAATGAGGAAAGAAGCCTGTATATTTGCCTCTTTGACATTGCAGTTTCATGTAAACTCAGCTTGTAAACCACTTTTGCAGGTGAGTTTGCAGACTGTAGTGCAGAAGGCCATAACTTGTTCCTGGATCACACTTGCTATAGTGAGCCAGGACATTCCCCCTCCCTAGTTCCCCTTTCTGTCTAATGGCTTTTAAAGATATTTATTTGACAGAGCACTGGAACAGGTTGTCCAGAGAGGTTGTGGAGTCTCCTTCTCTGGAGATCTTCAAAACCTGCTTGGAGACAGTCCTGTGTTACGTGCTCTAGATGACCCTGTGTGTGCAGGGGGGTTGGACTAGATGACCTCTAGAGGTCCCTTCCAACCTTAAGCATTCTATGATTCTACAATTTGATAGCAGGAGCTAGAAATCCATGAGTTGTGTCAGCTGTAACCTCAGACTAAGGCTTTCCAGCAGTGCAGAAGTGGCATGTATGCAAATACAAGCCAAAGTGCATTACAGCAGTGAATGCCAAAGATATAGCAAAGAAAACCCTAATATTTCCTGATTCACTTCTTTTGTTGTCTTGCAGAGGTTGATGAAGAGTGGCAAGGATTTGAGGAAAATATTGCCCACGTCCCCTTCACCGCTAAGCGCTACTCTGAAGCTGAAATGATTAAAAGGTCACAAGAGTTTTACAAACTTCTTAATGAGAGGCGGTCCGTTAGGTTTCTCAGTGATGAGCCAGTCCCCAGGGAGGTTATCAATAATGTCATCAGAACAGCAGGTATGGTACCGAATGGATGAAGGTCTAGAAAAAAAAAAGACTATAGCATGACTGTTCAACTCAGTTATAGTGCTGTACAAAAGCTGAAAGTGGCAGTTGCTTTTCATTTTCATTGTAACAGGAAGGAAAAAAAACATGATTATTTCAACTAACTAACTGCATGAAATTTTCATTTTCAATCTTTAAAAGCATTATTTAAACAAAAATCGCAGCCTAATTTTGTGAAACAGCTTTCAAGTAGAAACACTGAGATGTTTCTTTCTCAAAAATGTTAAATTCTAGGAACTTTACATGTGTTAAAATGCCATTAATTTTGAGGATATTTACCATGTAAGGATTTTTTTTGCTTGTCTGTTTCTCTGAAAAAAAAAGGAAATTGATCCACTCATGCAACATATTTTGCTTGACACAAATGATTAAGATTTATCATAGAAAAAAGGTTTTCTTTACCCACCACCACTACAAAACCCACCCCTTCCAGCCTCAGTACTTGGTGCCTGTTGTATATGGCTGCAGTGTTATGCTAAGGACTGTGGTCAAGGTTATTTGGGTGAGTGTCAGAAATAAATTTTCATTTTTTGAGAACTCATGTGTTTCATATCATTACGGTAATGTCCAGGCCTAATCTCATCTCTGTTTTAGCAATGTTGACTTCAGCCAGCAATGAATTTGACCCTCATTATTTCTCTTAATCTATGAACCAGCTGCTGTTAGTACAGCAAAATTTTCAAAAGCTGCCCTAGAGGAAAGTTCAACAGCCTCTAGCAGGATTAATAATAGAGATTCTTAGTATCTGAAGTGCATTATTTTTCCTTTAAAAACTGTGTGCTGCTTTATACTGCATATTTTTTTGAGTCTCCATCTTCTTCTAATTAGCTGGGGCTCATTAAAACACTAAACATGTTTTGGCAAATGCAGCAAAGTGAACAAGCCTGGAGTACAGATGAAGTGCTTTGTAACCCTGAAAGCTTTGTGGGGAGGAAAAGAAAACAAAGCAAAACAGATATGTCACGAGTTCTTATTCAAACTTGAGGAGGGGCAAGGCTCTTGATTTAACTGCATAATATAAAAGAGAGTTTAAACTTTTTACTCATAGTGTTTCTTAAGCTGAATTTAGTGCTCAAAGAAGCAAATATACAGTCTGGAAAAACTTCCAGTATTTTAAAAATGTTTACAAGGGACTAGAAGACCTACATGGTCTCCTTGTCCTATTGCTCTGTGAGCTTGCACAGGTAAGTATATTCTTTGGTTTCAGGTTTTCATCTGTTAGGCAGATAAAATGTCCTCCAATGGTCAGCGCTGAATGAGCAAGTGCAGATTGAGTATTTGCACATGTACGTTCACCAGCTGTCTTGGGCACAACGAACTGAACCTGTGTGTTGTATGGCAGATGTTTACATTCTGCAGTTCCTTATCTTTGTCAGCAAGCAATGGATTCCTGGTCATGGCTGGTTAGCCTTGCTTCCCAAAAAGCTTCTCAAAAATCCATTAGCTTTGCCCTTCAGACGAAACCTTCTCTCAGAGTTGGCTGCATATTCAGAGGGTGCGTTGCTTTGGACAGAATATTTTGCGTTAACACCCCTGCATGCCCATATAGCATCATGTTACTGCCTTCTTATAACAAGCACAGAGGAATTTATTCAAGCCTCTAAATTTTTCTTCCTATGAAAGATGGCTATTTGGTGGGACCAGCCTCTGTCAACTGAATGGGATTTTATATTCTTCGGGATACAAATGAATAGAGATGGCCAGCAAGAACTTATTTCTTCCCATTTCATCAGCTTGCTTTCCCTTTGCTCTGGTGGTTAGTCCCAAAGGCCATGAAGAAAAGCTGATATCTCTCCAAAGAAGGCCCTCCTTCAGCATGGTGCCATGTTTTCATCTTTTCCTGTTTTTGTGCCCAGGTACTTCACCCAGCGGAGCGCACACTGAACCCTGGACCTTTGTAGTAGTGCAAGATCCAGATTTAAAACATAAGATTCGGAAGATTGTGGAAGAAGAAGAAGAAATAAACTATAAGAAAAGGATGGGAGACAGATGGGTTAATGACCTGAAAAGACTGAGGTATAAAAATATCAGTTGGCTAAGTGGTTAAAGTGAGCTGGATTTTGGTATAAGAAAGATTATACTGAGAAATTATATACAGCTTCTTCTTTTGTGTGTTTTTTTTTACATGTTTTTAGGAAGAAAAAATATCCTTAAAATATTCAGCTCAATTTAAAAAACTTTGTTTTGAAAATATTCTTTCAGGTCCATGTTCCTTAGTCTCCCCTGTTTTCCTGCTCTACGTAGGAGGGCAGCAGTGATACATTTCCCACTTTCTGATTACAGGAGAAGGACGAAGATGGGGTCAGAGACTGTCCTTGTCAGAATGTTGTAGGGTCTCTCTATATTGTGGCCCTTTCCCTTACCCAGCAAGAGCTCAATAAAAATTACTATCTTTATGTTTTAATGCTGGCTATCTTGTTCTACGGGTGAGGTGAAAAAAGGTAGGTAACAGACACACAGGGGTAGGTAACAGATACACACACACCTGTGTGCTTCAGCCTTGCCAGCAGAAAGAAGTGAATCATACTCTTATTATTACACAGTCATTAATGTTCAGCTCACATATGTACGTGTAGCATACCATACAATCCTCTGTACAGCTTTATGTAGATCGTCAAGAAGACAGGAATCTTGCTGAAAGTGCCACAGTGTAGAAAATCCAAGTGACACAATAAGATTGTCTTGTTTTTCGCTCACAGCCAGACCCTATGCAAGTATTGAATTAAGCAAGATCTTTTGAATTAAGCAAGATCCAAAGATCTTGCAAAGTCTCACTGACTTGCTTAACTTCACACGATGGGAGGAAATCTATTGCTTGTCAAATGAAACCTATGCAAAGCTTTGTAGAGTCAGTTTTCCCAACCTATTTCATTAGGCTGTTTGTTTTCAGATAAACAAACATACTTGCTCTATAAATAACTAAAATAAGGTAATTTTATATTTTGTATGAGAACTGTTAGAAACACCTTTTTAAATCTAAATCCTATATCCTTATTGCACATGTTCTCATAATACTGAATTAAGAACCAAATGAAGTCTAAAAGTGCTGAGCTACTCAGAACTGGATAATAATCTGTAAGAATATATTTAGATTAATACCTTAAGCCAAGCAGTTCTGAACATTTTTGCTAGCAGTTTTTCCTGCAACCACAAAAAAAGATGGCACTGATGATAACAGCTGAGCCGTAGGTCCTCAGAATTCCAAGAATTAAATCATCTCAAGGGCAAATGCTCATGAGGCCAGCTCATAGATAAGAGGTCAAGGCCTGCCTGCTGTTTTTATGCATTTCCACTCTTCTGGGTCAGCATATCAACTCCATGGCTGAATGTGTTAAAACAGAGAGTTCCATTGAAGCCTTTTTCCATGGAAAAGTTTATGCTTAAGCTGATAACATCTAAGTGTTTGCTGTAACTGTTCTTAATCTTATTTTTAATCTGGTGTTATAATTGTTATATACCTTGACTGCACCTCTGTGGGCAGTAAATGTGATTTATGGGAGAGTGAAAATAATGCAAGATAATTGTCTTAAACATTGTCTTTTGCAGAACCGACTGGATCAAAGAGTACCTGGACACTGCTCCTTATCTGATCCTCATTTTCAAACAGGTTTATGGGAGACTTCCAAATGGCAAAAAGAAGACCCATTACTATAACGAAATCAGCGTTTCTATTGCCTGTGGTATCTTGCTTGCTGCACTGCAGGTATGTTGAGAGAACTGGCACTCTGGGAGTCAGTGGGAGTCAGGTTTCCTTTGGTCCAAATGAGGACTAAACAAAACTAATTTATATTTTAACATTATCAGTCACCTGAAACTGCTCTAATCCCTGGCAATATTTCTTAGTTTTGAGTTTTAAAGTTACTCTTTGAATAACTAATTCACTCAATCTGAATTAGTTAATGAGTTTTCCTACTTAAATACTCAATCCTCATTAACATGAAAAATGTTAGTGCTGGTTCTGCACTGAGCCACGTATGAGAAGGTGATTTCTGTCCTCAGTACAGGTTAACAAGAAGAAAAATGTAACACAGCTTACCTGGCAGAGTTGTCACTATTCTCCATGCCTAGACTTCAGCACCTGTGATTGCTGCTTTATCTTAACAGGGCTGGTATGACTGTGCAGTGCCATAGCAGCACTTTTAGGAAACCTTAAAAAAATGACTTGACTCTAAATCATTTCTAGGGCTGGAATAAAATTTTTTAAAAAAATCAGAGACATATTTCACAGAACAGGCTGTACCATTCCCATCAGTCTTTCTGAGGCATTTCTCAAGGTGAAATGATCTCTAAAGCACAGCATGTTTGACATCAGCCACTTGGATTTTCTCAGTGGTTTCTGTGTTCAGTTCTGCTTGTTACATCTCATATGCTCACACAAGTGCTTAAATAGGGAAGCTATTCCAGTTTTCAGCAGGGCCTGGCAGCAGGATGACAGCAAGATGCCACCTTTTGTATTAGGCCAATTTCCTACCAGGAAATTCTCCCCTATTCAGTTTTGAGTGATATTCTCCTGCCCACATCGCTGTTCTTTAGGAGGACTTCCTTGGTGTGAGATCTGAGAAGAGAGCAGTGCAGGAGCACATCATGGGGCTGCGGCTGCTCTGCAGCCGCACAGGGGGTCTGTGTTTTTCCTCCATAGATCTGAGGACAAAGCGGATGCACCGGGAATGGGGCAGAGCCAGCACTGGCTGTAGTCAGAGGCTATGGGAGTGCCAAGGCCCCATTTAAGTCTGAGCAAGCCCACCACTAAATGAGACTTGTGAGACTCCCTGTCAACTGTTCAGCTTTTTACCATAGTCTCCCTACCAGGAGAAGAAAGGTCTTAGAAATTATTTGTCAATAGTAAAGAACACGGTCTCTGTCATGGACCCATAACATTCAGCATCTCCACTACTAGTTGTCCTCCTATCCATAGAATCATAAGTGTCACTTAACTTGAGAGGTCCATTGCCTGAGCATGTGTTCCTGGCTATCTTTTATATCCTGAAACTCCTGAAAATGCTTGCATTAAATAGAAGAAGAGACTAAAATCCACATGCACAAGTCTCAGTATGCTCCTCAGCTGTGGGTAGCAACAGCTATTAGATAACATCAGCTGTCTGACTATTTATCAGATGATTTCACTTTTTTGTGAGATTTTGTATGAGAGGGGGAAAGATGCATATTTTGGGGTTCTGCTGTAAGACAAATTATTGGCCACTATGAAAGGTGGCTACTGATTCTAACTGATATCCAACTGATAGGTTAGATGTTAGGGAAAATTTCTACATGGAAAGAGTAGTCAAGCATTGGAATAGGCTGCCCAAGGAAGTGGTGGAGTCACCACCTCCGGAAGTGTTCAAGAAAAGTGTTGATGAGGCACTTAGTGACATGGTTTAACAGGTATGGTGTTGAAGGGCTTGGATTTGATGATCTTGAAAGTCTTTTCCAACCGTAATGATTCTATGATTCTTTTGCCCTTTCTTCCTGAGAGCTACAACTCTTGAGGAACAAATACTCACAGAGCTGCAAGACATTTCTCTGCCAGCCAAAAGTATTTCTTAGCATGAGCCGGATTAACCCCTTGGGATGATATTCCAGCAATATCCCCACAACTGTACTGTTGATTAAAATGGTCCCCCTATTATGCTGATTGCGACCTCCTGCTGTACAACCTGCAGACGTGTCAGGCAGGACCTGGCTGTTTCCATCAGCCTGGGCTACCCCTCCTCTGGAGAAATGATGTAGTTTTCTTCAGGCATGTTCGATCTTTTTTCTTTTTTTTTTCTTATTTATTTTTTAGGGCAGCCACAGTTATTGTGATTATTAGTAAATCCAGTGTTCTAAATCCTGCAGAACAGTTTAGTGAAGCAGTATTTCACAGCTTAGTCAATATGAAAATGATCGCAGGGCTGATGAGATTCAACTGTGGAGCATCAACCTTCATGTCATTTCTTGTTCCTGATGAGCTGTTCCTATGTGGAGAAGAGACCTTCATGTCATTCTTGTTCCTGCCTGTCCTATTGCAGAATGCAGGTCTGTACACAGTCACCTCTACACCCTTGAACTGTGGCCCCCAGCTGCGGGTGCTGCTCCAGCGCCCTGCAAATGAGAAGCTTCTCCTGCTGCTCCCGGTCGGCTACCCCAAGAAGGATGCCACTGTGCCTGCACTGACCCGAAAGCCGCTGGAAGACATCATGGTGTTCATGTGAGCCCTGGGCCACAAGGAAGGAGCCCGCTCTGGTGTCAGTTAGTAAGCATTAGTCCTCTAAAGTTGTTGTTGCTTTTCCTGTGTATTATGCCCAGTTTTCATCCTCCTACATCACTGCAGCTCTGGCTCTCTACACTTATGCATCTTTTGGTGCTAGTAATAACAGTGGCTGCTCTACTAATAGCAAGTAGTCGAGAGCTGTGAATTGGACAGGTGCTATATCAACGAGCCCAGCGGACTTATACAATGGCATCTGAGTGACCTTCATCACTTGATTTTTTCTTTTGTGCTCTTTGAGACAAATCTCTCCTTGAACTGGAATGTATCTTCTCCTGATATTTTTGTGATTGCCATTACTCAGTTATTTTCAATTCAGAATGTCAGTTGAAGTTGTGTTAAAAGATATAAAGAGACCTAAGCGGCTCAGCTGTCTGACAATGCTCAGTGTGTGTTCTTCAAACATCTCTTCTTCTTTATTGTGTTCCATTCTGCATAGGAGGAAGGTATTTTTCTCATACATAGTAGCATTTTCCTTATATGACTGAGTTCAAAAGCCTTGCTACACTTTTTTAAAACTACTGATGTTTCAAGTCTCTTCAGATGTGGAAGGCCTACTACATACATATATATCCTATATACGTTTTTTTTTTGTAAAAAAAATCCAAGTAATTTTGTTGTGATTTATACATATCCCAGCCATAGTTAAATCATATGACATCTATTGGCCAGGAACCCTGTAGTAGCTGCCTCCATCAAAAAGGAGCCAGAGTGAATTGCAATACCTATTATCCTATTAACACTTGCAACTATAGCAGTTTTAAACACGCAAATTTAAACTGCGCTAGAGACTCTGATGCAAAAGAGGTGCTTTTATGTCATGTCGAAACAGGCATACTCTGGTTCATTTTAAGACAGCTTTTCATAAAAGCAACTCTTCCTATAAAGGCCTTGTCTAGCTGCAAGGTCTGAATGGACATCATGCATGAAGTGCGTGCAGGGAAAGAGCTAGTGCTGCTATATCCATGTTGGCAGAGCCCTCTTGTGGAGTTTTGGCTTATTGGAACTGTTTAAATTCAAGAGATTTCAACAAACCTAGAATTTGAAATAAACACTCAGAGAAAAGATTGGATTAGCTTAGTTAAACCTGTTCTGTTTAAACCTGCAGACCTTGTGTGTACAAGATGATTTCTAGTATGGCTTCATAACTAAAAAGCAAAGAGCTAAAAAGCATTAAAAATACATACCTTATATACAAAAAAAAAAAAAGATTTTTTTTCCCTTGTGTTAATTCTAGAAATCAATATACACATATACTCGAAAAAAAGAAGCCCACACACCTACTATAAGAGAGTTTCTACCCAGGAATGCACTTTCAGAATCACAGAATATATATAAAAGATAAAAATATAATTATAAAAATAAAAACACTATTCAAATGCAAACACTCCAGTAGTATTACAGCAGCTCATGATACTGTGGACTCTTACAAAGCACGTGTTGGTACTGTTGTTGTGACAAGCCTACTTAGAACCACCAATATTCTCCAGTAAGAGTGCTCTTATTGCTTAGAAAACAAACGAAATCAGAAGAAACTTCGACTTTCCCTGCAGAACTCTATTAAATAAAGGATATCAATTAAATTGTTTTACAATTAACTAAGAATTTTTCTTTTTTGGGGTAAGAAAAACTACAATTTTTTTAGGCAGACGTCAATCTATGATTGGTCTGTCACCAGCTCCTGCAAAGGCATTTTGAAGGGATCAGCCACTGAGGGATGCCAGTCCTGGTGCTTTGGCAACAGAATCCTTCTCTGAACTCTTCTCTGACTGTGATTGGAGATGAGAGCCCCCCCAGCACATGCTGATGCCAGTTTTAGAGGCTGAAATGGAGTGTGGAGGTCCCTCCAATCTAGGACTGACTGCTACCCAGACAGACTGCAGAGAAACCATGAAACTTGGGATTTTGGACCCCAGTTCT